AAGCCTTGGGACCCTACACTCAAGTGGGAGATCTGAAAGAAGCTCCTGGCTCCTGGCTTCAGATCAGTTCAGTTCTGTTTGCTGCAGCCACTTGCTACGTGAACCAGGGAATGGAAGATCTTTGTCTCTGTCTCTCCTTCTCTCTGTAAATCTGCTTTTCCAATAAAATAAATCTTAAAAAAGAGAGACAGAGAGATTGTATCTAAGGTTTTATGTGACTATTACAATTGCATTTTATTCTTCAGACAATATAAACAAATAATGTATGTGTTTCACATGTGAAATATTGCGTTTGAGACACTTTTCCAAAGCTGTTCCCTTTATGGATTGACAAGTTTACAAAACTATACGGAAGATGGAGGAATGTATCAAAAGACCCTCTGATCAGTTATTGGTAATATCTAGACTTCAGGAGGTCTAGAGGACAAATAATATGGTTTCTTCATAGAAAGTTTCAATACAAAAGGACATGACACATTACAAAAGATCTAAAAAACATGCATTAAAAAATCATTTATTCGAAAAGCAGAGTTATTGAGAGGGAAAGACACAGAAATATCTCCCACATACTGGTTCACTCCCCAGATGAGTGCAGCGACCAAAGCTGGGCCAGACCAAAGCCAGGAGCCAAGCTCTTCTCCTGGGTTTCCCAGATGAGTGCAAGAGCCAAGGACTTGGGCCACTCTGCTGCTTTCCCAGCCACTAGCAGGGAGCTGAATCAGAAATGGAACAACCAGGACTTGAATCAGTGCCCGTATGGGAGAATGGCACTGCAGGTGGTAGTGTAACTCACTCTACCACAGTGCCAAGCCTAACAAACGTATTACTCAATTGCTAATATGGGTCTTGTCTCACATACTCAAACATCAGGACAATTGCAGATATGAGAACATGAACTGGATATCTGATGACAAGGAATTATCCATGATGCAGTGATGGCTGTATTTAAATGGGGGGTAAGGGGCATCCCTATTCTTGTCTTTTAGAGACAGTTAATGAAAAATTTAGATGAAAGCTTTATTCTGTGTAAGTTTTGACTCAAAATCACATCCTCTTCAGGAGGGGTAGTACAAGATTGGCTTTGAGTTAAAAATGATGAAAGCTAGTGATGGCATACAGGGCTTCGCAAGTCTACACATGCTTGAAATAGTCTGTAATAAAAATAAAATAAAACCAGGAGCTAAGGTTAAAAAAAGTCACGTTTGATAAGTCAAGTTTGATAAGTCAAGTTCTATATTGAAAAGAAGAGAAATAGAAAATATGACATTTGGGGGTTCACTATTTTCTCATCCTTCTCGGAACAGCATCTTCCCCTCCCCACACAAGAGCTTTTGCATCAAACTTCAGTGCATCAGGTCACCTGAGAATCATCCTAAAGCAGATTTGGATCCAAAAGGCCTGCTGGGGGCAGGGGAGAACCCAGTAATGTGCCTTTCTCACAAGCCCTGATGGGATGTGAATGTTATATTACCTCTGAGAATACACTTCTTTCTCCCTCTGTCACTGTCTTTGTTCTCTGGAGCCCACCCTTTATTCCTTCTCTCCTTCCTGGTCCATTCCCGTTCTGGTGTAGCTACGGTTCTACGGATCACTTGTACAATTGTTTCCTGTAAACTCCTTTCTATTTTGCCCTGTTCTATTCAACAACAACAACAACAGAAAAAAAAATAAATAAAAAGACAACTTGTAAAGGGCCCAGCACAATGGCGCAATTGGCTAATCCTTCTCCTTGTGAGTGCCAGGATCCTATATGGGTGCTGGTTTGTGTTCTGGTTGCTCCACTTCCCATCCAGCTCCCTATTTTGTGGCCTGGGAAAGCAATAGAGGATGGCTCAAGTCCTTGGGACCCGGCACCCACGTGGGAGACCTAGAAGAAATTCCTGGCTCCTGATTTTGGATCGGCTCAGTTTCAGCTGTTGTGGCCACTTGGGAGTGAACCAGAGGATGGAAGAGAGCTATCTCTGTAAATCTGCCTTTCCAATAAATATAGATGAATCTTGAAATTAAAAACGAAACACTGAATCTTTTTTGTTTTTTTTTTTTTTTTTTAGAAAATGGTTTAATCATCTGAAAGGCAGAGAGAAAAAGGGGAGTGGGGAAGAGTTCTGCCATCTGTTGGGTCATGCTCCAAATGCCTGCCAAAGCTGGGGTTGGGCCAGGATGCTGGAACTCGATCTGTCTCCAACGTAGGTGGCAAGGACCTGAGTGCTTGGGCCATCACCCACTGCCTGCATGGTGTCCATTATCTGAAAAGTGGAATGTGGAAGGCAACTGCAGTTTCAACCCGGACATTCTGATATGGAAGTGGTCGTCTCAAGTGGTGTCCTAACCATCATTCCAATTACCACCACCACCACCCATTCCTTTCCTTTCCTTTCCTTTCCTTCCTTTCTTTCTTTCTTTTTCTTTCTTTCTTTCTTTCTTTCTTTCTTTCTTTCTTTCTTTCTTTCTTTCTTTCTTTCTTTCTTTCTTTCTTTCTTTCTTTCTTTCTTTCTTTCTTTCTTTCTTTCCAAAAAATTTTATTTATCTACTTCAAAGGTAGAGAGAGAGAGAAAAACAGACAGAATAGAGTTCCCATTTGCCAGTTCATTCTCTAAACATCTATGCCAGTCAGGGATGGGCTGGGGCTGAAGCCAGGAGCTCCCACAGGGATGGCAAGGAATAATCATTGCTGCTTCCTGGACTCTGTTAGCAGGAAACTGGAGGCAGAAGCCAGGGACAGATGTGAATCCTAGGCATACTGAGATTCAGGATTCTTAACTAATAGGCCAGAGACCCACCCTGATGTCTCTCCCTTTTCTCTGGCGCATTCACTTAAAAAATCTTCCATCTGACTGTGCCCTGCCATCTTCAGGTGTTTGAATCCAAGAACTCAAAGGCTGATGAGGAAAATGATACAAGTTCTCTGTTCCCAGGATGTTTTGCCCAGCACCTGATGCCTTCCTTCGGTTCTCCCTTTTCAAGATGACCAACTTCTCAATGTCTTAGCATCCTTTTGAGACAGTGAAGAACTTCCTTATTCCTGAAATACTCTCTATTCTTGCTTGCCATAGTCCACACCCTCATGTCTTGCTTCTTTGTTTAGCCTACTCCCTGGGGGCTTCTTCAGATCTGGCATTTGAAGGTTGGAACAGCCTGGGATTCCAGTTGGTCCCTTGTTTGTTTTCTCTTTGACTTGTCTTAAGTGGCTTCAACTCATCTTCCGAATGTACAGATTGAATCCAAGCTTCTTTGTGTGTATGCCTGATCTATTGTGGGTTTCTTAGCTGTCTCACATAGGGAACTTAGATAGAATGGGTTCAACATGGAATGCTTGATTGCTTCTTGCCCTCTACACATCCACTACATTCACCCCAGAATACTGTGCTCCCTCCTCATCTCTTCCCTTTACTAAATGGCATCCCCAACCTAAGGATCCTTAACAGGTCTCTCTCCTTCAGCTCTTACAGCAAATTTATCAGCAAGGCTTCTTGTTTCTAACCTACAAACATTTTTTTTTTTGAGGCCTGTTCATTTCCTTTTCATTGCCAGTGCAATGACATTAAAGTAAATTGCCTCCCTTCTATTTCCCAAACAAGCCACTTAATGACTAGCCCCAGGACCTTTGCAGATGCTGGTATTCTGTCTAGACCACTTTAACACACTTGGGCTCCATGTAGCCCACATTTTGTTATGAGGTAACCATTTCTAAGGTCTCTCCGGACTCCGGGTCTGACCCCAGCAGTCATGCAAGTGGACCTTATTACGTCACATCTGCCTTATTCTAGCATTCTGCTACCCATGTCCAAAACAGATGCTTAGAGCCTTGCTTATTCTAAGCAGAAAACAAATTCATTTATAATCAGGTTTAAGTTAATCTCTAATCACAAAATTGTCTCCAATCCTACTATCATAGGGAGAACAGAATCTAGCTTAAGCTTTCGAATTCATGACATAGTCTGGGAAAAGAAAAGTAGACACAACATTTTGCACCTTCTTTCATTAAAAGGCATGCGCAGTCTTTTGCCCTGTGAATCTAGGCTTGCCAATGTAACTTGCCCAGGCCATGAGCTGCTAACAAACACAATGTGAGCAGATGCTTGCAAAATGCTTGTGGAGCAGGGCTTCCCTTCCCATGGCTGCTCTTGGAAGTCAGCTGCCATATGAAGGTGACTAGGCTAGCTCACAAGACATGGAGATGCATGACTAGGGTGGTTCCAACAGTCCCTACTGATGGGCATCAGAGACCGTCAAAGGTGTGGCTTCCATGTGTGTGGCAGTTGAGATGCCCTGTGACACCTGGGCGAGCCCCTAAGCAGCCAGCGCTAGATTTTTAGCTCCTACTTTTGGCTCCGATATCTGCCCCCAGAGAGCCAGACACTGGGGGTCAGTGGATATTGTCTGCTGATGGCTGCGGCTGTGTCTTCTATCCCTTGAGGATCCGCCAGCTAAGTTGAGACCTGGAACCACAGCCAACCTTCCAAGAAATGGCCCCAAAAAACATGCTCATCTTCTGTAACATCCTCACACACACGTACACACAATATCCATTGGGCAATTTCAATCGTCTTAGTGGACACAAATACAAAATTATTTTAAGGGGGACATTTCAGTATGCTTCCCATCACCAGATCCTTAGACGCTGGCCCTTCGGATGTAAGCCAGATAGAACATACCATCTGGGTTTCCAAAAAATAATTTTAAAACGCAAGGTAAGCGGGGACGGGGAGAGAGAGAAAGAGAGAGAGAGAGTAAGCAGGGGTGAATGCAAAGAGGAAACAGGAGGGATGAAGAGAGGAGTGGAGGAGGAGAGGTTGGAGGGACACAGGTGGGGAAGGCTGGAAGCAGAGCTGTGGAAGCAGGCAGCCTGTGTGTGCTGGGTAGGGCCAGGAGCCGCTGCAGCTCCCCAGAGCCGGCAGGCACTTCCCCTGCAACGTGCCCAGGAAGGGTGCCCTGTGCATGCTAATGAGCCAGTTGAGGACAGCTTTCCAGATAATTGCTCAAAGTGTTGAGTAACTTACCAGGCTGGAAGTCAGTGGGCTGCAAAATGATGGGGGTACGGCTCCTGGGGGAGCCCCCAGCCGAGGGGGGCCTGATCTCCAGGTACCCAGCACCTCCAGCTTAGTGGCTGCAAGGCGCTGGCTTTTCCATTCAGTCAGGCACCACCCCAAAGGTAGGGAGAGCCAGACCAAAAGGCAACGGAGAGGAGGGGAACCTGCTTGTGTTTTTGTATTTAAATTGTTTTTGAGCCCACGTAGCCCTGGGAGTCACATGCTGCCTCCCACATCACCGGAGCCATCACATGACACAGGTCCCCCATCATGTGATGAGACAAATCTGCCTAACTTCAGTCGCCACTGTCCCTTTCCCCCTCCCCGCTGCTTCCCTCCCTCCTCCCCAACGCGGGCTCACAGACTGACAGTGTTTCTGCAGGAGCGCCCTCTCCCTAAAGAAAATCAGCGACGGAGCGATGCAGATGGAGAAGCTTCGCAGCCCATGCGACGCTCTGATCTTGATGCATAGCTAATATGTCTTTCTCTCCCCCTCCGAAGCCACTGCGCCTTGGAGCAGTGCCAACCTCATTGAATTGCAGCCTTTGTGAATAGCTCAAGTGTCGCCACTGCCACCGTTGCTTCAGCAATCGCGGGGTGTCTGAGCTCACGCCCCGTGGGCGCCGTGTGGAGCTGCAAAAGAGGCCACTGTTGCCGCTGAGCCCTCTAGCTTTCCCTCTCCCCAGGTGTAGACCATGGTACGACCTCCTCTGCCTATGATAGCTCTGTTGTCTGGAGATTTCCTTTCTCGCTCGCTGTCTCTCATGCGTTCTATGTTCTTACCCCTGGCCAGGATACGGTTAAGCAGATTTGGTTTACAAAACTGTTGGGCTTCCCTTCTCTTGTTGTAGTAACCGCTTCTGCTCACTGATTCATTCATTCAATGTTCTACGAACATTTTTCTAGAACCCCGACTAGGCTGCAGGTCTTGTGGGAAACTCTAAGCAAGAGAGAAAAGAGAGAAGCGATCTCAAAGATAAGCGCAAGCTAAAGCCCTGTCCTTGAGGTGTGTGTTGTCAGAGAAAGGCAGACAGAACAGATGTGGCAGCGTGTGAGGATGAAGCGTTTCAACTCACACTGCCCAAACTTCTGTTTCCCGGGAGATTCGGGAGATTCGGACACCTGCTTCAGGTAACAAGAACTTGGACATTTTTCTTACCATTCTCTTCACCCTTGGTGGATGCTAAGTTCTAATGTTTGCTCAAACAAGTAAGGAAACAAACCCCATAGACCCATTTCCTCAGGAGGTGCTATGATTTACTCTCATTTTGTAGTCACTGGTCCTGTTGAGCAAAGGAAGATTATATTTGACAATCAGACATTTTGCGGGCAGACACATTCCTTTCCATTATCAGAGTGCCCCGATGTTCCAATCCTGCCTCTGCTTTCCATCCCAACTTCTTGCTGGTGTTGGACCCTGTCTAACAGCATACGCGTGGGTCTATCCTGCTCCTGGCTCTGGTCTGGAGCAGCCCTGGATGTTGAGGGCCTGCCCCCATCCCTGGTTTTTATGCAAACCAGTAGGTGTGATAGCCTGGGCCAGTAGGGCCTGCACCCCATCCTGGCTCCTGTGCATGCTACTGTGCTAGGCTTTGACCCGGCCCTGCCCAGTCCACCCCACCCCTCAGCCCACCCACATACCTGCTGACAAGTGCAGCAGTGTTGCCCCACCTGACCAACACCCAGCCCTGACTCATATGATCAACAGCAGGAGCTACAGCCCATAAGGGGAGTTTCTTAAGTTCCCCCATCAGGCCTACTCCCAGACCCAGATATCACACATGCCAGCAGGTGCTAGGCCCTTACCTGGCATAGTCCATCCCCTGGTCTCTTGTGTGTGCTGGTAGATGTTGTGGTCCAGTCTGCCCCACACTCTATCCTTGATGCACGGATGGGTGCTGCAGCCTGAACCATCCTGGCCTGTTCTCAACTCTGCTAACCATGACTGTTGCTGACTTCCATGGTCATGCCTAGCTCAGCCTGTCCTCCGCCCCAACTCTTGAGTAAACCAGCAGATATTGCTGTTCTACAGAGGTGAGCCCACATACACCCCACAGAATCTGCCCCTAGACCTGGTTCTCTTGTGTGCTGGTTAGTGTCATGGCCCAGCCTAACGTTACTCATCCTGTTCTGACACTCACTGGTGGGTGATGTGGTCTAGCCCTGCCAGGCAGGCCCCCAACCCTAACACTAAAGTGTGCTATAGTGGGTGGTGGTGGTGAGTGGTGGTTGATGCTGACTCACCTAGCCCAGGTCTTCCACGTGGGCATTGGTCTGACCCAGAAAGTTCCTCCAGCTTCCCTTCTCCAAAGCACTTAGCCCCTCCCCTTGCTTGTCTGCAAGCACAGTGATTTGATCAGTGGAAGTTCCCCAGAAGCCATTCCTCACCTGTTTGTACTGCCTCCTCAGTCCCTCCTTTCAAACATCCCTATACCCCTTCTGTGAGCCATCCACAACCCCTGTGTCTGCAATGCATGGGTTTCACAGCATGGTTTTCTGGAAGAGTGGTGTACTGGCCTGGAGCCCTGGCCACCCAACTAAAACCGAAACACATACAGAGGTCCCCAGATACAGTCCACCAGCACACCATGCCAGCAGGCCTGAGACCTGGAAACCCTAACCTATATCTCCTGTTCCCCCGCCCTGCCTGCCCAAGGACCCCTGGCAGCATCTTAGCCCAGAACACTACCCACTCACCTGGGACCCACACATGTGCATGGCTCCTCTGGCCTATGCCAGCTTGCCAGCCTGAGACCCAAGCATGTGGGCAAGATTCCAGGTCCACCTTGCTGGCCCCAGTGGAAGCCAGTTCCAGTCACTTTTAATCTGGTACCTCATCCCTTGTGGTTGGAACATACCCTAAATGCAACAGCAGTCATAACGTCCAAGCAGTTGTTTCATGGTCACCAATGGCCTGTGAAGAGCAGCACCAGTAGAACCTCTGATGATGGCTGACCAAGAACTGCTAGTTCGGGTGGGGCAAAAGTGACTCAGCAATCTGCTGCAAGCAAGCTGCTAGTCTCATCCAGGAATATTTGGCATGCCAAATCACCCTAACCTTGTCCCAGTGCAGAAGGTCACCACCTGCCATGATGAGTACCCCATGCTATGCATCACATGCATGTGCAAACTGGGGAGCTGCCACCTTCTCCTATTTCCTGTGTCTAAGATGTGCAAAGGCCTAGCGCTGTATGCGGTGGGCAGCCATTCCCCACGTGGTTATCCCATCACGTGGAAGTGGTCCTGGGTCCTTCCTTGCCAGGGAGCAGCCCTTCAGACTCTCTCCCCTAATAAAACCCTTCACCTAAACTACAAGACTCTGTCTGTTTCTCTCAGTCGCCACTTGACCTAACAAGAACGAGATGGGAAAATTTCGTTTCTTCCAAGTTGGAAGACCAATATTCACAGTGAAATTCCAAATACACTAGCCTTCTAAGGGCATAGCTAAGCTCTCAGATATGGAAGAAAAACCACAAGAAACTGAGAACGAAGCATGGAGGCCTCACACTGGATCGACCCCCGGGACTTCTGTGGTTTGGGTGTTTTTGTTCTTCCAAGGCTTATTGTGCTTGAGAGCTTGTCCCCAGAATCGTGGCACGGAGAGGGGTGCAGGAGCTTTCGGAGCTGGGGCCCAGTTGGAAGTTCTCAGGTTATTGGGGGTTTGCAATCAAAGCAACTGTGAGCTTCTAGCCTGTTTCTCTGGCTTCCTTTTGGGCAGTGCGCTCTCCCACACACGCATCTCTGCTGTGATATGACCTCGTTCAGGAGGGGCTCTGCACCAGGACAGAGCCGAGGCAGGCAGCACGGCCTGGAACCTCTAACTGTGAGTTAAATAGAGCCTTCCTCTTGATCAAGTTGGCTGCCTCGGTTGTTTTGTTGCACTGACACAAAGCTGACCCAGGGATGTAGTGTGTGATAGAGGCATGCCAGCCTTTGGGAGCTGAACTGTACCTTCAACCAAAGGGGAGGAGACCAAGTATTTTCTGGAGAAGCTGAAACAGTTTAAGACCTGTATGCTCAGTGAAAAGATGGATAGTGGTCAATATTATCTATCCATGTAATCACCAAATGCCCAGATGAAGCCATTCTTTTTAGGTGTGTCTGTGAACGTGGTTTCAAAGGAGATTAGCATTCAGTTGGTGGATTAAGTATAGTACAATGACCTTCCCAATGTAGGAATAAAGCAACAATGTGACAGGTGTAGGAAGGACGTTTTTCCCCTTCACTGCTTGCCTACCCGAGCTGGGCCATCTCAACACCAGCATTTGGACTCAGATCTCCTCCCCTGGCTCCTAGGCTCCCCTTACACTGCTGGCTTACTTGGGGCTTCAGCTTGCCAATGGTATAAGCAGAGCAGAGTACTCTACAACCTTCCTAACTGGGTGAGTCAACACTTCATTGTGCAGCCGTCAATCCCACTAGTTCCGTTCTGTGGGAGAACAATGGCTGGTAACTTGAACAGAAAAACAAAAGTTCATCTTTAATCCCAAAGAAACACAGAAGCTTATGTGACTTGATCTGACTTCTGGATAATTACCAAGGCCTGTCCTCAAGTGGCCTGTAAGTTCGAACACATAGCAAGTTTATGACCCACGAATAGCAAAAATTAAAGATAATACAAAATACAGGAGCACTGGAAAGTGCTAGGTTTCCTAAACCAAGTCCTCACATAATTCTCACAGATGAGTTTATTAGCCAACATTATAAGACATCATAAATGATGAAGCACTAGTAGGTAAAAGAGAGAGCAGGATTGGACTCCATTGAGTTTCTTTTTTTTAATTTATTTTTATTGCAAAGTCAGATACATAGAGAGGAGAAGAGACAGAGAAGAAGATCTTCTGTCCACTGATTCACTCCGCAAGTGACTGCAACGGCCAGAGCTGCACCAATTCGAAGCCAGGAGCCCAGATCCTCTTCCAGGTCTCCCACGCAGGTGCAGGGTCCCAAGGCTTTGGGCCGTTCTTGATTGCTTTCCCAGGCCACAAGCAGGGAGCTGGATGGGAAGTGGAGCAGCCGGGATTAGAAACAGCACCCATATGGGATCCTGGCGTGTTCAAAGTGAGGACTTTAGCTGCTGGGCCACCGCACAGGGCCCCATCAAATTTCATATAGTAAAACATTGGATGGAGATCATTGAAATAACTATGCTAATCTTTTTTTAAAGGGCAGCAGTGTGTTTAGATTCCAAAGAAGGTAGGATAATGGGAACTGGATGGATCCCTTCCACCTGAAATAGCTTTTAAAAAGTGTTT